GAGCCACCTGTTTCCTTTTTTCACTTCTCCAGTCCCGCGTCATTTTTTCAAAGTGGCAACACCAGATACCGCACCTGATTGGACGATAGGCTCCTTTTTCACCAGCCTCACTGTGGCTGACACGACATTGGTAAGGCAGGGCCCCCTCCCCTCGCCCCCGAAGAGGATCCCAAGGCCTAAACCCAACACCATCTGGCAGCCTGGTCACGCGCATTGCCCACCTCAATCCGCATTTCTCGACAGCCTCAAACGGTCCCTCGATATATATCGGTCCCTTATCGCTAAAACCGACCCAAAATCAATTTCTTGGCCCCGGATCCCGCCTGCCGCATACCGAGTTCACGGCTCTGTACGGCTGCCTTTCTGTCGCCGAAGTCGCTTTCAGCTTTCGCTTGTCGCGCCTTCCTTTTCCCGCGGTCGTCGCTCCCTCCTTCCCGCCGATTGCTTCCGTGGCGTGTCGCCAACCTACCGTAGTTGTCCAACGCACACCGACCCGCCCGATTTTCGCCCGCACCCCATCTCGATAGATTCCTATTGCATGGCGCATTGAAGGACCGTCGCTCGCTTTTTTATTGTATCATTTTTTGATAGCCGCGCCGGCTGCGCATCTCGCATAATCAGGATATCCTGACGTTCCACTGTCGCGCACCGTCTGCGCGCACCGTAAGGAATCGTGGCGGCGCTTACGATTCTGAGTTCCAACGAACCATCGGAGCTGTCCTTGCAACAGCACCTCGAAATTGCCCCGGATCTGGTTGCGTATACGAACCTCACTGTCGAGGGAGAGCCCGAGTCTTTGATGATGGCACAGCCCGTGCCTCATCAGCCCACCGATAAGAAGCGCGTCAAGGTCTACGAACTCCGCAACAATGACTGGTTCGATCGAGGCACCGGCTTCTGCAGCGCGAGCTTTGAGACTGTATGTTGTTGATGTCCTTCCAATTCTGCATTTTTGTATGCACTTTTGCGCCCGGAATTAGTTGCTGACTGTAACGCCTGCAGCTTGACGATGGTCGCAAAGAACCGCGCGTCATCGTTGAATCAGAAGACCATCCCGACCGTCTCCTGCTAGAAACAAAAATTCAAAAAGAAGATGGATTCCAGAAGCAACAAGGCACGTCACCATGTCCGAGATGCGCATTGAAGACGTCATGTGTCTAACCCGATTCACAGATACACTGATTGTATGGCAGGAACCTAGTAGTGGAGTTGACATGGCACTCAGTTTTCAAGAAGCCGAGGGATGCGCCATGATATGGTTCGTACTGGTAATTAGCAAGACGTAACTCATGTACTGACATCCAGTAGGCGTTTTGTGAGCAATGTTCAACAGACATTTCATAATCATCTGCCAGGAGCCGGTATGCACGACCGCTCATCACCTAGGGACTACGATACTGATAACCAATGCCTAGATGACGGCCTTTCTGACGATCTCCCTATCGACGCTCCGCCGGCTATTAACTTGCCCACAGCCGAACTTGGAAATCTCGGAGATATCGAACAGACCATGCGGATGATGAGCACGACGGCAAACGGCCGTGATGCTCTTGCCAAAGCAATTATGGCCGAGGACTTCATCGGCAAAATTGTTCCTCTGGTCGAGATGGCTGAGGACCTCGAGAGTCTTCAAGACTTGCACCGACTTTGCAACATCATGAAAACAGTCATTCTGCTTAACGACACCTCGATTATAGAGCATGCGGTGTCGGACGAATGCGTTTTAGGTGTTGTTGGTGCTCTGGAATACGACCCCGACTTCCCTAGTCACAAGGCTAATCATCGACACTGGCTGGGTAATCAAGGTCGATATAAAGAAGTTGTGCCTATAGAGGAGGAACAAATTCGGAGGAAGATCCACCAAACATACCGTCTACAGTATCTAAAGGATGTCGTTCTGGCTAGAATACTCGACGATCCTACTTTTTCGGTTCTCAATTCTCTCATCTTTTTCAACCAAGTCGACATTGTTCAGCACCTGCAAGCGAATGCCGCTTTTCTTAACGAGTTGTTTGGCATCTTCAGGCCCACGAACAGCGATCAGAAGAGAAAGAAGGAAGCGGTGCTCTTCATCCAGCAATGTTGTGCTATTGCCAAAAATATCCAACCACCGGCGCGTCAGACATTATACAACAACTTCATCGCTCATGGACTCCTTTCCGTCATCCACTTCGGGCTCAGACATCATGACGTGGGAGTTAGAGTCGGGGCAACTGACATCCTGATCTCTATCATCGATCACGATCCTCAAATGATTCGTCAGACTTTGTACCGTCAACTACACGAGAACCAGACTCTGCTCACCGACTCTTTGATTGATCTTCTACTGGTGGAAGTTGATCTTGGTGTCAAGTCTCAAATCTCGGAAGCACTCAGGGTCTTATTGGACCCTGGCCCTCAACAAATGCAAAACAACGAGGCCCTTGCCAAGGCTAATGGCGAGTTTATGGGAAGACAGAGACCTCAAATCGCCCTGGATCCTCAACAAGAGACTTTCCTTAATAAGTTTTACGACAAGTCGGCTCCAAGGCTGTTCAAGCCCCTCATGGATTTAGAGAAGCGAACGGACATGAACTTTTCTGTGCAGCAGGCTTCCATGTTTACATATCTTATTGAGATTCAAACATTTTTTATCCGCTGTCACCAGTTACGCGTCAAGTTACATGTCATGTCTCACGACATTGTTAAGCGTATTGCTCAGCTTCTCACATGCCCTGAGAAGTTTTTGAGATTAGGTACGACATCTTTATCTGATATGTTCGACTTTGCTAACTCTCCATAGTTGCTATCCGTTTCTTCCGATCATTGATCGGAATGCAGGATGAGTTCTACATCAAACATCTCATGGAGAAGCAGGTCCTTGGACCAATTCTCGAAGTTGTTATCGAGACCATGCCCCGAGACAATCTCTTGGGCTCAGCATCGCTGGAGTTTTTCGAGTTTATCAAGAAAGAGAATATCAAAGACCTAATCAAACATCTCGTGGCCAACTATAGAGAAAAGCTTAAAGGGTTGAGCTATATGTCGACATTTCGGGAGATCCTTCTCAGATATGACCAAACTCAGGGTTACACATCTAATGTCGACTATTTCCTGGAAGCCGAAGACGAAATGGGCAGGAGACCTCTAGTGAACGCAAGGATGGCCGAGCAGATCACTGTTGAGCAAGAGCAAGAGGAATACTGGGCAACATCTGATCCTGAAGATGATGACGACCAGTCAAGTAAAGAGGGAGAAAGGACACCGTCCACGAATGGTTCAATCACCTCGAAGCTACTGGTCGACTACGCATCCGATGAAGAGACTGACGAAAATGCCGACCCTGAAGCCACACCAGAAGCGGACAGCCAGCACAGCGACGTTGCATCCGACGCTGTGCACTCGCCTATTGATTCGAGCCTTGGGGGAGGTATTCCACCACCTGAGCGACTTGCAGAGAAGCGTCGACGCGAAGAGGAGGAAGACGAGGACGAGATGAGCAAAATGATGCAAAATAAGAGACGCAGCAGCAGCGGTTCTGTCACGGCGATCCTAGGCAACTCTCGCGGCCCACAAAGACGCAAAAGCTTCAACGTCAACTCCCCCACTGGAGGCAAGAAGATCGCCATCAGTCTCTCTAGCGGCTTAAAAACAGGCAGCGACTCAGGTTCCAACGAGGAGTCATAAATTCTCCTCACTTCTTTCGGCGATGGCGTACCGGTTTTTGGTCTGTTTTTGGTTGATCATGAAAGGAAGGGGAGTGCAGACTTGTGGTGCCACTCCTGTACAAGCACATTTAGCAAGTTTGGCTTGCTGGTTAACGGAATGGTCAGGCTGTGAGGACCGGCGTTAATGGTTGACATATCCGTGTAGCATCCGTCAGAGTCGTAAATCCTTACGAAATTCATCATAGTTAACCTTGTACCAGCTGCCACGGGTTCCGTGAGTCAGGTGAGTTGGCTGGTTGAGTAGAACTGAGTAAATGAAATGAAGTGAAGTAAAGAGAACTGAAATGAATGGATGAAAGAACGGTCGAGGTGTTCTGTAACCATCTGAAGATATTATCTCTTCCTAGATGTGAATTCTACAAGTGGCGTGGGGCTCGCAGTTTAGCTGATTGCTGTTGTCGCTGGTCGTGTCAAATTTCGATGGAATTCATGGCAAATTCTTTATGCTTCGCCCAGACACCCCCTTTGACTTCAGGTTAAGTTTCCTACCGCGTCTATTGGGTAAATCCATCGTATCTACGGATAGTGCGGAAGCGAGTGACTGCGCGTTGTGACTTGGCTGACTGATTCCAACGGTATAAGTAGCTTGAAATCATAAAGCAGCTCTGTCATATCATTTTCGTGGCTCTCAAGATATGACACTCTTAAGAGATATTTGCTACAGCGGTGTAAGATTTGCAGAAGCCTAAGGCTAGCCGCCGTGACGAAGTTGCCCAGTGCGTAAACACGGTAGATGTGCTTGGGTTGCTTGCATTGCTTTGTCTGGTCTGATGGGGCTTTATCTGGATCGAGGTTCTGCCACCTTATTTGGGTGATGGAGTCGTCGAGAAGCGACAGCATAGTACATGGAATGACTTGTCGAGGTAACCAGGGCCTACGAGTTGAAATTGGCAGGATTGCAAAAAGGGAGAGATGTTAGAAGCGGCCTGCTAGCTGAGCAGTGACCGTAGTGCGTAGGGGTGGTTTACTGAGTTGCAGAGCTGTATCATAAACTTTATGGCTTCAATGGCCCTTGTGAGACAAGCAAGGAGCTGAGTCGGGTTCGTGGACAATAGTTGGTGCTCATTCCAGGCCATTGGTAACAATGAAATGAAAAGCACCTGTCGAGATAAATAATGATTTATTATTCACTTTGTCTACGCCTATGTTTAATGTAGTCACATATTACAAGTTTGGCAAAGATTTTTCATAATCTCATCATAATTTTATTTCGACTTTTAGACGACTTTGAGACGTGTCTTAGACTAATACTGATTGCCCTGCCCTAAACCGTGTCCCTGAACCATGACGTAACTAGTAATGAAACTGCTTGCTCCACTTCTCATAGCCATCTATCTGCTGCTTGGTAATTCTGCGTGGTGTCTGCTCCAGAACAGTTGTCAAGTCGGCCATGGTCATTTCGAGCTTGTTGACCGTTCTGTCATCGTCATAACGCTCCTGGACAAGCATGCCAGTCTGATCGCAGATGGACTTGATCTCAGCCCCAGAATAACCTTCAGCGAGTCGAGATAGGTCTGCGATATTGACATCTGATGCTAGGGGTAGGCCGCGGAGATGGACGTTGAAGATAGCTTCACGTGCTGCTCCGTCAGGGGGGCCAACGTACAAGACTTGAGCGAAGCGGCCTGGGCGTAGCAATGCCGAGTCCATGGCCTCAGGGCGATTGGTAGCTGCGACGACAATAACCCCTGAGAGAGCCTCGAAACCGTCCATTTCAGTAAGAAGGGTTGTGAGCATATTGAGAGAGCCGGTACTACGGGTAGTAGAACCACTGCCTGAACGCTGTCCACCGATAGAGTCGATCTCGTCGAAGAAGATGATAGACGGAGAAGCACGGCGAGCACGGTCGAACAGAGCACGTACGGCTCGCTCAGACTCGCCGACGTACATGTTCAGAAGCTCAGCACCTTTGACGGCAAAGAAGTTGAACCCAGACTCTGTCGCAAGTGCTTGAGCTGAAAGTGTTTTGGAACAACCAGGGGGCCCGTACATGAGAAGATTCATGGGTGGAGCACGAAGGTAATGCTCTGGGTTCTAATTTCATCATGGTTAGTATCTTATTGAAAGACTTTGATGGTTGACTCTCATATCGCACCTTTGTGTACTTGATCATCCTATCGAGGGCCTTCTTCAGGACTTCTTGCCCACCAACATCCTGCCAATGAATAGTAGGAGGATTGAGGTTGATATCATGCATAGCCGATGGTTGAGTCTCAGATCTCGCTCGATCAAGATCCGAGCTTCTCAAGAAACGTTCTCCAGTACCTGTCTCAAGCAGTCGAGTTTCGAGATGATGCATCGCTTTCTCAGCCAATTTGTGGAGATCTCTGGGGGTGAATGCGTGTGTCTCATCCGCCAGATGCTGGAGAAGAACTTGTTTGTCTGAAGACATTGGCAGGCCAAAGGATTTGAGTATCTCCATACGATCATCCAGTCTCGGAATAGGCAAGGCAGCTTCCAGGAAAAAGCGAGTAGGATCTCGCAGTTCTTCTGGAATATCAATATAAAAGTCGGAGCAGGTAGCAACCACCACCACATTAATGTAACATTCTCCTGACTGTGAGACTTTAGACAAGGCATCCAGTTCTTCGCCCAGAGTTTCGATGATAGCCAGGCGATTTGGGTTATCCTTGTTTATCAGAGTGTGAAGATTGTCGATTAGAATGAAACTTGGTTGTCGTCTCTGTGCATGCCTGAAGGTGAGCTTGATGCTCGAGAGTTTGTCGGAAGTCTTAATCCGATGCACTTTGCCCCATTTCGTATCAGCAATACGATTCAAAATGAAAGTCTTGCCAGTGCCGCGACCGCCATGGATAACAAAACCAGATGATCTTTTGCATCCTTTGAAATTGTAAGGGTGAGTGAACTTAGCAAGGAATTGATTCAGGCTCTTCACCACTTTCGACATTCCAGGGACATCGGCAACGACAAGTTTGCCACACTCTCGTGGATCTGTCCAGTGGACATGGATGTTTGTATGCTCCCAGATGTACTTTGCAAGGTTGTTGGTCTGCGAGTTCACAGAAAGGACCTTGAAGTATCGGCGTGCCTTGGAAGGGTGCACCGCTTCCACAACCATCCCAGGGAAGACGAGTTCAACACGGTCTTGGAGAAATCGGAGTTAGCATACTGAGAGATGACGTTCATGATTGGGGTTAAGCTTACCAAGAGTGCATCCAACTGAGTTTTCCCATGGCATGGGATACCTTCCGTCCAACTCCTGCCTTTCCATGCGGTCGAACTCTTCGGCGTTCTGCTCTGTCCTTTGTGTGACATCTAGCACCTCGATATCCTCTGCTTTTGGTAGTGTGCCCGCAAGTTCGATGCGAACGCGTTCACCAAGTTTGAAGCCTGTAGCCTCTCGGAATGCTTTGGTCATTATCACGACATTTCGGTCCAGGTTCTTCTCGGGGAGAATGTATAGCGAGGCCTCTCGGGGCTGTCCTTGGCTCTCAACATCTTCATTATTGGTGGGGGATTCTAATGGAGTGACAACGCAGAGCTTGCCACACTCCAAGTTTCCCGTGAGCGAGAGCAGAGTATCTCTGCTGATATAGATGCGGGAAGCACCGAGGAGACTGGATTTTTCAAGACTGGTGTTCGCCAGGGGGCGAACCTTTGCCTCCACGCTCTGCGCCAGCATGTTGATAGATGAAAGTAATATGTAAGGACATGAAAAGGAGAAGAAGGATCTTAGCTGAGCGAAGTTGTTGTTATGCTTCGGAGAAAGAATTAATGGAGGAAGGCGCGGGGTCCTAGTTGAGGTAGGCAGCAATGAAATTTCAACCAATGAGATTGCAAGAATCTGGAGGCAACAGTGAAAAGTTTAGGGCAATACTTTCCTAAGTTTAGGATTAGTTTTAGGATACGGTAGAAATGACGTAACCGCCTTAAGAAGAAGGCACCGCCTCTGCATCTGGTTCATGAAGGAAGGATATTACTTGAGCTGCTACTGCTGTGTTAATGCGCAAGAAAATACTCTCCACTCCCACTCACAAATCTGCAAGTGCGACTGAAGGCTTTTTCCAACCCAAGTTGAAGGCACAATTTATAGAACAGGAGCATGTATTAACATGTCTCCACGCTGAACGGCATAAACCAACACATAAATGAATGTGACACATTAAAAGCCATCTCTTTCTTATACTTTAGGCATCATTCAAGGTCATAAGATTAAATTACCATCAGTTCTGTTTGATAAGTCACGTATTGACCTAGCTAGTACACAGCAGAGCCGGGTGAAAAGAGTCATTACAACTCTCAGTCAGAATACAAATACTTACTTGTTCCCCCGAGTCACAAATCTGCAAGCCAAGATAAGATAATTTTCTTATATCTTACGTTGGTACCTTTCACGTCAGTCAGTGAGTTGTTAAGAAACCCATGTGGCGCCAGTGTAGGTGTAAGTGATTGGGGAGTAAATTGACCAAAAAGAAAGAAACAGTTTCACATGTAATGTCTACCTTAGAATTCTATACAGTTTTTGTAAATATCATCTTTTCTCCACTCGTACCTCTCTAAGCCCTCGAGGTTAGAGATACTATCATCATGAGTGTGGCTCAAACATGATTTCTACCTTATCAGTCTCTCCCATGAGAGAGAACCCCGCTAAACCAAATCGGATCAGAACTCGGCCGAGTCCCGCAAAACACATTGACTCTAGTTATTGCTCTGCTCCAAGATGCCCTCAAACTTCCAACCAACCTTAAATCCCATGTTTCCTCACAATCTATCGCCCGGATGATCCGCCAAAAATGGCTTCCCCATGCCAGGGCCATATTCGCCGCCCAGAAAAGATGTCTTTCTTCGCCAAGCGGCAGATTCCCCAAGTTCGCCCAAATCGATGAGAGCTGGGGATCTCTACAGGAGAAGCTCAACTCTTCTCTGGCCCGGGCCAGTCCCGGTGGAATCTTGAAGCCAAAGCCAGTACCTCGCCCTCCATTGAAGCGTGCAGTGGCTGAGGACCCTGGTTCCGGGCACATGGTTATCATCGAGGGTCTGCCAACGTCGCTTGTCGCTGCTGACTTCCATCGTCTTGCGCCGGGTACACTTGCTGGCTGGGAAAACGGCATCACTCATGGTACTTCAAATCCTCTACGCCATCATTGACTATTGAGCTCACACAGCTACCAGTCTTCCAAGAACGCGATCCCTGGACCATGGAACCACTTGGCACATACTACATAACCTTCCCCTCCAGCGCCGCCGCTGACATCTACCGCGACAGAGTCCATCGTATCCTCCGCCTCGCCCAAGCAAAAATGAGAGACGGCACAGGTCTCTGGGCCTCCAATGTGAACCCCGTTTTCATCAATAAAAAAACCAATCCCGAAGTTGAGGTCGAGCGCTTCACACTCCTCCCAGGCTCATACCCATCCCATCCTAAAATCAGGACCACACGGGTCAAAAGGATGGGATGGCAGCAAGTCATGCATCGAATCATCAAAAAATCCTCCCATAAAAGGAATCCTAGCCATGTGCTGCTTGAGCTACCGCAAGCGAGCTTCTCGGCGTCGGAGCTCAAGGCGATCATAAAGCAGGACGGTATAGAAAGTGGACACGATTGGCAGATGGATGTGTTCAGTCTAAGGGAGACTATGGACTTTGAGGAGGGCTTTCCCGCAAAGACCCGCCGAGTACCTTTGTATCGAAGCTGCCCGGAGTTTCGACACAAGCTCGTTTCACGGTTTGTCCTTACCTGCGCGAATCCTGGAGTTGCATGGCGATTCATTCGTAACTGGAATCAGCGCATTCTTGAATACGACGGAGGAGACGAGGTGATCCAACGTAATCGTGTAAAAGTATCGTACATTCAGACTTAGCGATTGTATTATATCATGACGGAAAAATTCAAAGAACCAAAGATGCTCGCTTCATGGCCCACTAAATCTCTGATATTTCTGAAAACAAGACATCAACACTTTCACGAAGGAGTCTTCAGCTCGTCTTGACCCGGCATTTAATCGCAAGTAAAGCCAATCATATACTTCAATAACGACCACTCATGCACATAACGCAAGCAATGTATATTAGACCCAGATCAAAAACCGAAACTCCAGACCGGATTTGCTCTCTAAGATGGGTTGGAAGGTCGATCGGGGGAACAACAAGACATGACCAAAAACCTCTCGCAATGTCGTCACTCATTCTTTTGAACGTGACTGAGATTTGCCGCCCAGCTCAAACTAACAGCCATCCATTCCTCTCTTTCGGCTCCTTTGCTTCTTTCCTTCGTTTCCTTGCATCCATCCATCCTTCATGCTCAAAGAGAAGAGTACAGGTTCTCCTCCCATTCTCTCAATGGTGAACTCTCCAACTCTCTCATCACACGCTGACCCGTACACAGCGTGTTCACCTCCCTCGAGTTTACAAAGTAATAAGCTTGAAAAAATAATAAATAAAAACGACGGCAAACGGAGAATGACAGATAAACGGACTCCTCAGGGTATTCGGTTTAGCAGCACTTGCTGCCGCCGCCTTCGCTCTTATCGCCGACGTTGACACCGCTCGCTGAGGGTTGGTCGTTCTTGGAGTTATCGATAAGTCGCTTCTTGATGTCTGCGGCTAGGCTGTAGAAAGCCTTGTCGATGTTGATGTTGCTCTTGGCGGAGACTTCGAGGAAGGGAATGCCCAGCTCGTCGGCGAGAGCCTGGCCTTGCTCGGTGGAAACAACTCGCTTCTCCTCCCAGTCGCACTTGTTGCCAATTAGAATCTTGTTGACACCCTCTGTAGCATGTTGCTCGACGTTTTGAAACCAAGTTCGGATGTCTATAAGAGAGTTAGTTAGTTGCTGTTGGTATATGTGGCTCGATAGCGCATTGCTTTGTTGGGCCAAGTCAAGGGCGCTGGGCGCCTATTTGGCTATCGGGTAGGAGAGGGGCAACACAACAAGATATCATGAAATGTGTACATCGAGCCGTGTCGTGAGGAATAGTAAGACGTACTGTTGAATGAGCGCTCGTCGGTGACGTCGTAGACAAGGAGGATTCCCATGGCACCACGATAATAGGCGGTGGTGATGGTGCGGAAACGCTCCTGGCCGGCGGTATCCCAGATCTGCAGCTTGACGCGCTTTCCATCGAGCTCAATAGTCCTGATCTTGAAGTCGATACCGATAGTGGTGATGAATGAAGGGGTGAAGGAGTCTTCGCTGAATCGCAGCAGACAGCACGACTTGCCGACGCCGGAGTCGCCTATCAGGAGCAGCTTAATCTACATGACGAGAATGGTCAGCGAGAGTCATCACGAGGCGGTCGCAAGCAGTGAATAATAGCGATCACAGCGCGATGCGCTTTGGCATATTCATATTCGTCGGGGTTGGCTCTTGACGACGTGAATCCAAGGGACGCAGGGGGCGGATTGGCGGGCGGTGGGGGTGAGGAACGGTAGTAGATTGGATTTGGATATCGTACCAGGAAATCATAGTTGCGATTACTCGACATGTTGACCAAGAGTGAGAGTAGCAGAAGAAGCTACCGTGTAGTGAAGCGAAGCGACGATAGCGACGAGAATTCGTTGGTCGAGGATGCGGAGGGAGGTGAGAGTAAAGGCTACCTAGGCTATAGCGTGGGTGATTGAGTGCTGATGGTCGTCGAGGGTTGAAGATGGAGATGGAGATGGAGTTGGAAGTGGAAACGGGAACTGGGACTGACTGGGAGTGAAAGTGGAGGAGGGAATTTGGATTGGCCTTTGAACCGCGGGACTAATCCGTTTGCCTTTACGAAGTAGGTACTGTACCTAGAACGGCAGGCGAATGATATTGGGTTCAAGACCTCTACGGCACAGGCTTAGGCAGTGACGAACTAACTCACACTACGTGGTTACAGGGGCTTTCGCCTACTGGTTTTAGGCTGTCGCAGCACCATAGGACTCCAGCTGGCAGTGGAGGGAGGTGTTTCAGCAGCGGACAGCGTTTAAAAGAGCCTACGTGTCAGGCTGTACTTTTGTAAGTGAGGTAGTGATTTGGAATTCTCTCGAGGTCATTTCCATTGTATTTTCTCGCTATTATTTGTCTGCCTATCTAATCTTACCTAGGTTCTCAAACTTGAAACAAGCAAGCGAATGTCCTCCATATCAACAGAGAATACAAACACATCCCCAGCGCATAAACTGTGTTATGCACCCATCCGCAGATGGTTTCAATTATATATCCTGATATCCTCATACACTACAATATGCATCCCGAGTAACACAGACGGGCTACCTTGGATAGGGGAAAAGCCTTTCAACAGCTGCAACTGTGTCTAACACTCAAACAGTGTCTGCCCCTGAAAAATAAAAAGATTGTGGCGTCTATCTTTTGATACTCAACGTCGACTCTCATGCAAACTCGGGTTCCACAACGGCTTCGTCCCCTCCAAATCTAGGGGCCTTTTGCCTTTTGCCCCTGGTTCACGACGTCATCTTGAGAGACATCATCACGAGACACACTTTATCAAGAGATCAGCCACGCTCGTTACGTCCAGCTTTGCCACATGAGCACAAAATAAACGACAAGACAAGAGAAGAGAGAAATCAAGTAGGAGGGTCCAACTCGACAATCAGGTTCATGCGATCTCGAAAGTTGAGGCTCGTTGTGTTTCACGGTACTCTTCGGCTTATGCTCTCACTGTGTCAATCACCAACTCAAGGAATAAAGTGCATCATAAGAGTAATTCAATTGATTTCTCGTAGATGCTTCCAACAGACCTCGTCGAACATGTTCAACCGAGTCAGGTGAACTTTCAACTGCTCAATCATTCATCCATCCAAAAAGTACATAAAAAGAAGTGAAGAATCTCAAACCACAATCCCCACCCTAACTTTGTTGTTTACTTCTTGCAAATGCCAAATGCATTCTGGCAACCACACTCACACTGCTTGGACTTGCGGCCACATTTGCCTCCGCGAGAGCAGCAGTCTCCAAACTTGCTTCCCTCACAAGTCTGTCCAGTCTCACCGCCGCAGCGGCCATCTTCGGACACCTTGAGTCCAGAGCTTCCCTCTTGGGTAGGCTCGTTTGTCTGAACTGGCATAGGATACTTGATCACGGGAGTATCCTTGTACTTTGTGTTCTTCTCGTACTTGTCCCACTTCCGGGTCGCTGTCTCTTGGGTAGCCTCAGTATTCTCAGCAGGCTTCGAGGCCTCGGTCGTAGCGGCGGCAGCCTGAGATGTCTTTGATGGAGCAACGTACGGCTCCTTGCTGGCAGGCTTGTCGTTGGAGTTGGAGTTCTTGCCATCAGTGGCTAGATCGCTGCCCTCAAAGTCACCATAGGGAGCAGGAATGGGACCAGGGGCTTCGGCAAAGTACTCCTTGCCAGTGAAGTTGGGAGGGCCTTCGAAGTCCTTGGCTTTGCAGGCGGCGTTGATCTCCTTGCAGTAGTCATTCCAGGTATCACAGCCCTTACCACCAGTAGGGGGGGCGTTGTCCCAGCAGTCACCAACAATATCCCAGCACTTCTTTGCCGCAGCCCAGCAGTTATCTTGCCCAGAGTACTTCGCAATAGGCTTGCCGCACCAGTTGGCGTTTTTGGCAAGGCAGTCCTTGGGGACAAGACCATCCTTCTGGGTCTGTTTGGTGCCGGTCTCTTCAGAGGTAGGGTTCCAAACCTCAGGTCCAGGAATAGGGTATTCACCCTTGTCGCTGTAGATGTTGTAGGTGACACCGGGGTCCTTCTTGTCAACATAGCCGGGAATGCTGACTTCGTACTTCTCAGGGATCTCGAGAGGACCTTCAGGGCCGTTCTCGATGAAGATCTGAGCACAGCTGTGGTAAAACTGAGGGTCACCTGAGGGAGCGTTGTGAAGGGCAAGGACCTCAGGGCGGACGAGGTAGTAACCGGCAGGAAGACCGGTAGGAAGGTCGACTGAAAGAAGACCACCATTGGATCGGAGAGTGTCGGTACACCACTTGTCCTCCTTGACGTTGTAACCATCTTCCCAAACCTTGAACCAACCGTCACCAGCAGCAGAGTCCGAGTTCATATCGTCAACCTTCTTCATGTAGACGGAGCAAGGGCCTTTGTGACCTTCGGCAATGGCACCAGGGTGGGAGTAGCTGGGGGATTCACGGAATTGGAAGGTCAGTTGAGCACCGCCGGGAGCTGGGCAGGTGAACTTGACTGGCTTGTCGCCATTTTCACCTGTGTTTGTCATTATTAACTGTCTCTGAGTCAAGGTTACTCGTAAGATCTACTTACCACAGGCCATGACACCTCCAGTGATGGGGTAGATGGGGCTGTTGGCCTTGGAGGCATCCTTGGGCTGACGAACACAGGTACCGTCGCCCTGGTTCTCGCCATCGACGAAGAGAGTAGTGAAGAGGGTGTGGGCGTTGGCAACAGTAGCGAGGCCGAGAACAGTAGCAAGAAGCTTCATGTTGGATAGTTCAAGAGAGGATCGTTTCGATAAACACAAATGAAGGAGAGCAGAAAACCAGTTCTGCTATAAAACCGCTAGGGTTGAAGTCGTTGATTGATGTCGTGAAAAGGGAGCGTATATGCTTGAAGAAGCAGTAAGGAGTGTCTTTCAATCAATGAAGGAATGAATAGGTGAAGAGAAGAGAAGAGGAAGAGGAAGAGGAAGAGTCGCAGTACAACTCGAGAAACACCGTGATGAGGAAGAACGAAGGTGAAGAGAGAGGAGAGAAAGCATCACGAACTTGCGGCCATGCCTCATATATACTGCAACTCCTCAGCTCACGATCAGGGACGACCATGGCAGGCATCTTAACCTCAGCTCGGGTCAGCCTGCAGATCAGATCCTCCAGACCTGGTTCTATACAAGGATGATGGTGATGGCCAAGCTCGACGAGTTACACCAAAAAGGCCCAACTTTCCAGTTATTCGGTGCGTAACGTAGGCGACAAGCAGCGCCAGCACCTCAAACGGTGGCGTTCCTCCTAGCCTGACCCTTTCCATTTCCCCAGCGGGATAGCTACTGTAGCTAGGGACGGATAATGCTGGATACCCATGTTTAGGCTCTCTGCATGTTTCCAGGTGTAATCAAACGGGCCACCAAACATGGAGGTCAAGGCCATGGCCGTGATCCCTGTGGCGCATCATTTGGGAGTCAATCACCGAGTGCCAAGATGTCCAAGGTGAAACACAGTGAGAGAGGCCTGAGTCTAGGTCTGCGGGTGCTTTGATGGCTGTAAGTACGAAGATTGAATTGAATGGTAGAAGTTGGATAGGATTGGATGGAGGTTTAAGCTAAGTTTCGGTACCTGCGTCTAGGAAGCGCCCAGATAAACGGGCGTTTCCGTTGTGGATGTAACCTCCCCAATGACTGTAATTCAGAATGATCTGTTTTCTACAGTTCTGATCGCTTATTACTTTATTTTATTCTTTATCTAAATGCTACGCTCATAGTTCCCATCAACCTTAAAGCATAAACATTTTTTGTTAGTCCTTTATGATACTCAACGGCGTCGTTTCAAACATTAAATCTTCTTAAACGCCTGCGGGGAACAAAAAGGAATTCACCAAGTTGGCTCAGAAAAACAAATACAGGGGTTATCCATGATCATCTAAACTCATAACAGTGACTACAGTGACAGTCGATTAATCATGGTGCGACTCTTAAATCCAACCCCTCTCATCCTTTCAATCCCTTAACTATTCGAGATTGTCTATCATTCATGGCCGTGCTCATTCAATCCTAGGCTTTCATCCTTCGTGGATTCATAACCCTCAGGGGTAAGCTTCAGCCGCAAATCGCTTGGGGAACCTACCTAGTGAGTTAATCGGCGTAGTTTAAATCGTGAGATCGCTTTTCAGGGCCCAGTATTGACTGTAAGGTACCTATTGATAGCATAATACAATTTACATACTATACAGCCTTCTTCTACCAGATCAACAACCCAAAAATCAACTCCTTAACTCTCAGCAGGTTGATACTGCACGATTCAAGTCTGGGGGACAAGCAAGGATCATGTCGATCCTCTCCTCCGCATGTTTAATACCAGGGGTTTCATAAACCTCTCTCATCCCAACCCATCACCCTTTCATCACCCTGTTCTGTTCGAAACTCAGCAAAACACAACCAACGTACTTGGAAAAATGAGGAATATGTTCCGCTGTCATCCCATCATATGTTGATCATTAATGAAGCTTGTTTTATACCCCTGCTATTCACATATTCCGCCTTGGCATCCCCCAGCTGCACTGCACATTGTATTACATGCACACTAATAACATAAAGTCTGACCAAGTTGAATGTTTTCTCTATTCTCAAATGATAACTCAGCTTCATCATCGGCCGTCTGCAGCCAAGTGTGTTTCAACAAAAAGCAAAACAAAACATCGGCCCAATACAGGTCGTACAAATAACCTCCTTCAGCCTTCGGCCTTCGCTCTTCGGCGCTTCAGTAGCCCAAATACCGGCCCATAAACCAGATCAATTCTGGTCCAATTGATCATCTGCCGCCCTATATATGCGACATCTAGCTGCCTCACCTGCCGAAGACTCCACGGTAACATCATCACATAGACAAGAAGGGCATTGAATCATAAATCATACAATTGAAAGGGTAGGAGTGGAGATTTGATTCTGTCCCGCGCGACCAACACTTTTAAACTCCACATACACACTTATACAAACATACGTCTTGAATCCTTGCATAATTGGTCTGTCGGTTTTGCGCCTACATTGACAATCATCTCCTCCCTCTTCCCCCTCTTCCCCCTCCAAACCGACCTCAGCAGAGATTCATCTCTTGCGTCCGCCACTCTCGATATGGTACAGTATGATACAAGCAGGCTATTTTTGATATATGGGTATCTTATTCGTTGATCTTGGCCAGGATCCTAATTACATAAGTCAGTATACCTGCTTCCACAATGCAGCGTCTGGTGGTATGTGGTCACTTACTCGCTGTCGCGGAAGAGCTGGAACTCCTCCTCGCCGGCCTTGACGGGAGAACCGCCGAATTGAGGGATCAGAACACGGTCACCAACGGCAACGCCCATGGGTAGTCGGTTACCCTTCTTGTCCATGGCACCGGGGCCCACGGCGAGGACCTTGGCCTCGTTGAGCTTCTCAACGCTGGACTCGGGCAGGAAGATGCCACTGGCGGTCTTGGTCTCGGCCTTGATGCGCTGGACGAGAACACGGTCAAGGAGGGGAGCGAGAGCTCGGATGGACTTGATGGAGGTGGCCTGTAGCGTTATGTGTTAGTCCTAGCTGTTCTTTCTCGTGTCTCATAGCGCTCATGCGCCTGAATGCTTCCATCCCTCCCATCCAAGTCTCCTCATGGCTCCCAATTGCCGAGGATAAGAAGCTGGATAGTTGTGACTGAAGCATTGGCGGGGCTGCTTCTGCAATTCGCTCGCTACAGTAGCAATCGTGAACGTACCATTGTGATTAAGTAAAAGAGGTAGGTGATTGGGTATATGATCAAGAGATTCGTAGATTCGTAATTGGAGAAGTAAACAAGAGGAAGAGTTCGGCTTCGGTGTTCAACGGAGTTCAAATCGGCGGTGGATCTCGTCTCTTCCAACAGCTTCCAGAAGAAGGTCAGCAATTTTTTCCCCCAAAGCTTCCCCTCGGCTCTTGATTTCCCCGGTTCCGAGAATCGGCACTACACGTCCGATTACCGTCCGAAAACGGTATATCACGCCGAACGACTTACACCACCAAGCTCCTCGTTATCATTCATGTGATCTATACTCAGTATTATTATTTTTTATAATTCAACGCTGTCTTTCTCTCTTAATCGCTGAAAAGCTTCAACAGTCCCCTATCCATATTCTGGGACTGTTGCTAATCAAACGCTGTTACCAAGGAATTCTCGACAATTGCTGATCCTCCATCTATCTGTTCGTCAGTCATCAATGCAGCTCATAAGCCAATCCGTTCCAAGCAGCCCCCAATTTATGTCTTCATTGGTCTCCAAACGCCAAATACCGGCCTTCCTTCAGAAATAGTCAATTTGTGTTGCGGTCGTAGCCAGTCGTCTGATGATCACTTCTTCTCGGGTTGTTGCGAATTGGCTGGCGGCTCCAAGATATGAGTGTGATTGTCAGCTGGGACAACCTCACCGTGGTCAAATTGTTGGCAAATGACTGTATCTGCAACCCATGGCTCCTGAAGAATCTCGTCCATTCGCGCACGAGTCTTGGGGTTGAGATCAAGCATTCTGCTAATGATGTGTCTGCTTTCCCTAGGCAGCAGGCGTAGAATACGCCATGGGCCACGGATGACTTCTTTCTTCTCACCACTCGGCTGGGTCTTAGAGTCCTTCGAGTCGGTGGTCGAGCTAGCCTCTTTTGAGGTTGCCTCTTCTTTTTGCTCATGATGAGTATGTTTCCTGGTCTCATCCTCAGCCAAAAAGTCTCGCGCTGGCGTGGTGGTCAAATCATTCGTTGACTTTGAAGGTACAATCAGCTTCCTGGGGTCGTGTCCCGGAGTTGGATCCGCCGCGAACAACTTGAAGGAGTTATCTGTCATTCGTGGGACCTTCCACGGGAAGCGTCGAAGAGTCATGCAGCAGAAAATGATGGCCAAAGACCAGATATCCACAGCTACCGCGTCGTACTCCTTAGAGTCGTAAACCTCGGGTGCGAGATAAGGGTCAGAGCCAACAATCCCTGAGACCAGTTAGCCAATGTCCTCACACCATATTAGCGAAGAAGTATACCTTTTGCGGGCACAGTGTCGGTCTCAAATGGATATTTGAAGACGTGAGCACTGCCAAAATCGATGATCTTCATAATACCCTTGGAGCTCACCACCACATTATCCAGCTTCAGATCGCGGTGGGCAAGGCCCACGCTATGCAGATAAGTCACGCCATTGAGGATTTGCAGGAAGCAGCACGTTATCTCTTCCCGGGACATCCGACCGGTCATAACGATTGCAAAGAGGTCAAATGGCGCATATTCCATCACTTCATACCAACGCCCCTTTTCTTGAAGAATGTCCAACGTCTCAATAATATTGCCATGATGAAGGGTCGATCCAACGCAAAATTCGGCTGTAACTTTCTTGTTGTACTCTTTTTCGGTTTCGTATGTGTGTCTTGCACGGAACTCCTTGACTGCAAATACGGTACCGTCGTCCTTGCGCTTCATCAGTCTCACCGAGCCACCCGCGCCAGAACCCAGAAATTTGCCGAGCTTGCCGTACTTGGAAGACAACCCATGGTCATCTCCAAATGGCAATTGCTGGGTCGATTTGGAAGCTGCAGCTTTCATACCGAGCTTGATCGATGATGGTGCTGGTGACGACTCTCTCTTCTTACTGTGATGTCCGCTCTTGCGGAAAAATCGTTTTAAATCTGCCATTGAGCCGTGTCCGGGGTGAAGGTTGCCAGTCGAGATGCTATCATTCGGTGCAAGCTCTTCACTACTGTTCCTTGCACTACCAAAGATCGACGACCCGCGCTTCTCGTTCAGATTTGACTTGGACCCATGAGGAGAACCATGCTTCTTCTTACGTGAGAATATGAACCTGGGGTCGATTGTGTGTTTCGTTGTATGTGCCGCCGGTGCAGGTCGTCGGCCCTTGGCGTAGGGATCGTTGATATCACCGCCAGGGGTGAATGGCTTAGAGTAGAAGTTTGACGCGGAGCTTCGGGACGGACTAGATTCTCTAGAAGCTGGCACAGAACCAGGTCCAACTCCAAACATGCCTCGACGATGGGACTGGTGCTGCTCTTCAGCGGAAGAAGCCCTACGGACCGCATGATCAGAAGCAGCACGAGCAGCCGAAGGTCTTCTATCGGGAGCTGGTGAAGCCTTTTCATGAGATGACGATGCCTGTGGGGTGATAACCGGGGGTTCATTCGTCTTGGCCACTTCCTTACCCTTCTTATCCGAACTAGCCTGACCGGATCCCGCGGGAGTTAGGGGAGGGGAAGCCAGCGTAGAGACCTGAGGGCTGGTATGCGGGGATTGGAAGGTGACAGAGGTGGGTGTGGGCAATCTGGTAGACTGTCCGGATTCATCCTCATGCGATGGGACCTACAATGACATCAGTTAGCGTTAGTCACAAAACCTTCAATTATGGCAACGCAGTGACATAACGCCGCGAAGCTCAAATACCACAATCAAATTGCGGGTAGCAATTAGAGTGGCATTTGGCCGAGAGCATTTTCCAAAAGCTAGCAAAGCGAAAATACACAAAAAGGAGGTCATACTCGGGAGGGTGGGAGCGAGAAAGCTTCAAATTGGCAGTTGTTCAAGCGCAATTCTTGTAACGGCCGGCCGTGAAGAGACTTGGTGAAAGCTTTAAGTTGATCGGCAGTAACTTCGGTGAAAGGACTTGACTGGTCGTGCTCTTCATGCTCTGGGTTCGACGATGACGGGTCAACGGTGGCGGGTTGGGTAGGTGATATCTCCTGGACGGCGGATGAGAAGCGAACGCCGGAGGCATCTTCGGATACATCGTCCTTGTCGCCAATTGACTCTTGAGGTTTTTTAATAGGCTCTGAAGCTTCTATTATATCTGCGGTTAGCGATTGTACCACAAGCATCGTCTCGCAGTGCTTCAGTGCGCGCCGAGCAGAAGATCAAGGTGGGGCAGAATAGGCTCGGCAGAACCGGAAGATAGACTTACCAGAGACGCCCTGGGAGCGAGGAAGCTCCTGGGGATGATTTGAAGAACTCATCGGAGTGGAAATGGATGCTTCGATGGGATGTGAGCAAAGTAACCAAAAAGCAACCAAGGTAGTAGGAGTATGATGAGGGTGGTAAGAAGAAGCGAGTCCGAGCAGACTAAGAGTTGCGACGACGATGATAAAAGAGGACGAGCCAAGGGCCCGCAGTTACCTTACTACGTACCTAGTGGGGGGGATCCACTTCGTTTCCTTCTCTCCCACCTTTTGAGGACAGCCCAGTCCGAGTGGTTCTCTTCCCTTTTTGCTTGGCAGGGCTACGGGCAATAGTTAGCGTTTAGGAGGTCCTTCTACGGCTGCTAGAAACACGCTAGATGTGCGCTAAAAACTGTTTCCTGGCAGCTGGTGATTCCCTCCAGGTACAGTACAGTCCCTGCGATGGGGGTTCAGAAGTTGAGGCTTGTTCGAACATATGCGAATATTTGAGTTGAAGATGAGTCCGTGTTGATCGTGATTCGACGTGTGCGCCGTATTCGTCTCATCACTTTCCCCAACAGAAGTACCCCCTATCGTCAGCTTTTAACTTATCTTTCCTGCTGATAGCTTGACTGAAGTGGCATAGTAAGCAGCGATTATCATGTACCTCGACTTACGAAGCTCTCCCTGATCTCATGGTCCTGGCACATCACTAGACAGGGCTCCTTGTCAAGAGAAAAATTCAACATATGAGTATGGAGAATGGAAGCAGTCCAATGCACACGGACAATTACGATTGCATTGCATTGGGTTGCAAAACAATTTCCTCGTTGGGTTGGAAAACCTTCTTGTCACTATGACTCAACTCCTTTTACACTGGCAGTGCCACCAACAGCCATACATTCATAGCATGTGCACTAACGATGCAAAGATCGGGAAGGCGGTTAGTTCTCCGGTGTCGATGTGAAGTTCACATCCCACAAACAGTTCGAGATCCGTGAATATGACCCCCTGTCAAACTCAACGATCTGACCCGATTTAGGCTCTCGCTCAGCTGCGTTCCCTAGTCGACGTAACCAAAGTATATTTACAAGCTTGAATGATGTAGCGGTGTCTCGAAGTTATACGATTAACATGAGAAGCTCCAACAGGGGTGACATCTAACGTTACTTGGGCTCCAGTACTACAAGTGCAAACTCCGTTGTGGTGCCGCGGCTTTTGTGTAAGTGACCCATGTGTCAGTGAGCCTCAACCAAGAAACGTGTGAGACACAATGTGTGACAATGTCGAGTATCACCTGCTTCTAGAAACATGGAAGACGAGAATTTTTTTAACCCTTCAAGTTTTTGTTTTGATACGTAACATAAAGCCCAGCCCAGCCCAGTCACAGCGGAGCTCCCGGCCAAGTTTCGGTCGCCTCCAAGCCTCCAGTTGCAAGAATCTTTTTATCCCTTCATCAACAACCAGTCAAGTATAGTCAAAATAATCAACCCCACAAATTTGAATATCGAAAATGTTTTCTGTCCCTTGAGCTATTCCAGTGTAAGCAACAAGTCCCGTGTCAAGTCAAGCTCAATTCTTACTTAGGACCATACGCAAGCCGCCTGGCCTTACACGTGTTGGTGTCAAGCCTGCGTATTTCGGGTCTTGCTAAAGTGGTTTCAGTGGCAATGGAAGTCGACCTTTTCCATAAATGTCAAGTCTACAGATGGGGCCATTGAGGTATCTCGGTCTTCAGACTTTTTATGTGATCACCTGTTACCGTCAGGAACTGGCCCCAGAAGATCTGTCAAATATGTCGATCTTCCGTTGTGCCCTGAGATCTCGAGGCTTTGTTGTATCAGGATCCTACTAAGTCGTTTCATTTTTCCTGTCTCATCACTAGCACATTTGCCCAGTCCTCAGACGGTCAGAACTCGGGACACTGAATCAAAGGGCTAGAAATAATTCTTCTTTAGAGTCCGCTAAATTTAGGGTGACATTATCCTAAAAATATCTTAGACTTTGTCTACCTTATTTATCATCTAGGTAGGGGATAATCCTAAATTTCTGCCCCTCCAGCTACTGACTTACCTTAGTACTAGGTAGGTACTTACTCAATATGTACAATTGATCACAGAGCGTGGCATATAATCATATTGCCAAGCATCGATGACACAGCATATGAACCAATTGTTTCAATGATAGTTTGACGCTCATACAATCATGATCTGAGATACATCGTACATGAGATACAGTCATATGTATTCCACATGACTTCATTGGTTTCCAACGAGATACGAGACTTGATGCAAGCCACGCGTATGGTGGATCGAGAGTATTTCCTGGTCAAGTGCCAACCCACGTACTGATAGAGGCACGTGAGACCCTGACTATTTGCGATTTGTGAAGGTACAGATCAACTTCACATGTCTTGCCTCATGAACTCGGCAAACTGCGGTCTGTAATCACTCACTTGGCCTCAAGTGCTGAACCACGTCCATGTCCGTCTTCTCATATCAATGGCATCGGGATAAGCCAGACATAAGATCCGCCTGCCCGATACACGCAACAGTGGAAGGATTACCGGTGTTTCGCCTTTTGAACGCTGAATAGATGCATCGTACAATTCTTCCTCTAGTCAGAGGCCCAACTCCCTATCCATAAGCTGTTGTACAAGTATGATATCTGGTTGGAGATCTTGGTACACACCACATTCCGTGGTCTTTGAAATTCATTTCGTAATCATCCCCTTAAGCCACCACTTCAATTCCCATTGTTTTCGCTTGATAAATGACCGATCTGCAGAGTCCCTCGAGAGAAAGACCGGAGAGTCGGAGCTCAGTTTGCTTGATCTTGGCAATCTCGTAGATGTGCTTGAGGGATAAAACGCCGACAGTCTCGTGCCCAGGCTTGCTGACACCCTTTCGTTTGCCCTTCTTTCCCATGGGAGCTTCGACGGCATTGAGGAGAAGCCATGAGGTGTGCGGCGTTCGGACGTCAAAAGTAAATGATCGATCAGGGCGGACGGTGACTCGGCAAGGCATTGGTGTTCCGGTGATAATATGTGCAGTTCGTGCATTGAATTCCTGAGCGCAAGTTAGCAAAGGATTAACACCGAAGCTCATATAAACTAAACTAACCTTGCAAAAGTCCATAGACTTCACACCCTTGGAACCGAGAGCAGGACCAACAGGAGGACTAGGACTAGCCTGTCCAGCTCCCACGATCAGCTTCACGATTTGATCAACGCCGCCTCGACCTTTTGACATGATGGTGGTTGTGTTGGGATTGGTGGGGTCTCGTTACAAAGTTAACGTTGATGGTGTTTTGCGAGCTGAAGAAATTCGAGAGCCAATGTCTCTAGCGTTCTGATTGGCTCACAGCAAAAGTTATGATGTCCCCACAATCAGGTCGCTCCACTCAGATTTCTGAGGGACGGAAAGCTTTCCATCCATCAAAAAAAAAATCTCGAGCGCCTTCAACCTCCCTCATCAGAAGACACTCAGCACAACCACAACGGAATGCGCATCTGAGAAACGGATCTTAAGCCGCATCCGATATTTCAACCTCTCCCACTCAAAGAGACTTAGCAACTTTCGCCAGCTTCTCTCGCCAGAAGCGCCTTCACACCAATCTTCAACTGATATCCCCAGAAGAGCTCAACACCACTTGAACTACTCTCCCCAGAAGAAACATAGTGCCACCACAGCACGATGCCCTCAACTCACGGTAAGGCATAATCCAACGCAAGTCCTCGATGGTGGTTAAGTAAGAGGCTTACATGAAGCAGAAAAACCGAAACCGTGGGACACGGATGACGTTGACAAATGGAAGATCGACACCTTCACTCCCAAAGATAATGTTGGCGGCACATTTCTCGAAGAATCGTCATTCAGCCTGCTCTTCCCAAAATATCGCGAGGTTTACCTCAAGGAGGCCTGGCCTTTGGTTACCCGAGCCCTCGAAAAGCACGGAATTGCCTGCAAGCTCGATTTGGTGGAGGGTTCTATGGAAGTCCGGACAACTCGAAAGACGTTTGATCCCGCTGCCATCCTCAACGCACGCGACCTCATTAAGCTCCTGGCTCGCTCTGTACCCGCACCTCAAGCTATCAAGATCCTCGAAGACGGTATTGCCTGCGATGTGATCAAGATACGCAACTTGGTTGGAAGTAAAACGTCATTTATCAAGCGTAGACAACGAATCCTCGGACCCAACGGTTCGACTCTCAAGGCGCTGGAGTTGCTCACAGAAACATACATTCTGGTCCATGGAAACACAGTTTCGGCCATGGGGCCCTACAAGGGGCTAAAAGAGCTGAGACGAGTTGTGGAAGACTGCATGGCAAACGTACACCCCGTGTACCACATAAAAGTAAGGAGATGCCAGCCATTAGATCAGCTTAGCCTGCTAACCCATCGACAGGAAATTATGATCAAGAGAGAGCTTGCAAAGGACCCCGAACTTGCCAACGAGAGCTGGGATCGCTTCCTCCCCAACTTCAAAAAGAGGTCTCTCAGCCACAGACGTGTTCCCCACAAGGTCACCGACAAGGCCAAGAAGACATACACACCATTCCCTCCAGCTCCCGAAAAGAGCAAGGTGGACAAGCAAATCGAGACTGGCGAGTATTTCTTGGCCAAGGGCGACAAGAAGCGTGCTTTACACGAGGAGCGCAAGGAGAATCAGAGCAAGCGAAAGGAGGAGAAGGCAAAGGAGCGAGAGGCCGAGTTTGTCCCGCCGCAAGAGGGCCGTCCCAAGAAGAAGCGCAAGAAGACGGAAGAGTAAACAGGGAGAGCATCGTATTTCGTGGATGGGCAACTGGTGTGAGTTGTTTCAATCTCATGTACAAGCTCTCAAGTTGTATGATACCCTGAAAGTCTCGGCGTTCTTCATGTCTCTATTTAAGGATTAATAGCTAAAAAGAAATTTGCTTTCAATTTCTGTGTCTAAATTCGTGAAGAGGCGTTGTATCTGCCTTGTTGATTATGAGATCTAGAGTTTGGAGGGCGAATCGCTTCCTGAATCCCACTCGATTACCAGCTTACCAAACTGCTTCCCCTGATCCATGTCTTTAAACAGGTCATCAATTCCTGGAAGGTTATCCAGCCCCTTGATCGTCCTGCTGATGACAGGTCGAATCTTCTTCTCATTCACAAAGGCAACCATATCCCGGAACTCCTTGCGGGAGCCCATCGTTGAACCCTTGAGCTCGATATTCTGCAGGTTCGCGGCCATCAGCCAGTCCATCTTGGGAGACACGGTCATGCCGTACTGCACAATTACACCGCCAGCCTTGAGGAGCCGCACAGTCTTAGCCACGATCTCACCGCCTGCACCGTCGATTACAGCGTCGAGGTATGGCCTGTCAGCTGGCAGCTGTGCTCGAAGCTCCTTGTCCCAGGCTTCTTTCTTGTAAATGACACCACCTTTTGCGCCCATCTCTTTGGCCTTCGTAATCTTGGCTTGATCGCCGGATGTGATGAATACGTTGCAACCCATTGCTACACCGAACTGAAGGACCTGGAGTGCGACACCGCCACCAATGCCGGTGATAAGAATGTTTGAGCCAGGGAAAGCAGCGTTGCTCTTTGACACCAGGGCACGCCAGCCTGTGACACCAACAAGAGGCAGAGCTGCTGCCTCAGCGGGTGTGAGGTGCTCAGGCGCAGGCTCAACTTCCTCCTCTGACACTACAATGTAGTCCTGGGCAGTACCGACCTCGGTGAGTTTGGAACCACCTGTGACTGCAAACTTACGGCTATCTTCTGGTGCAGCAGGGTCTGATTCCCAGCCGCGCATGGGGGTGAGGATGACTGGCTTGTTGAGGAGATTCTTGCGGGTGACATTGCTTCCTAAGGCGACCACAGTGCCGTAGCCATCTGCTAAAATTGGATTGGTGAAGGAAATGGCTGGGTAGAGATGGCGGCGCATGAAGAGATCACGGTGGTTAAGTGCCGCCGCAGAGAGGTTGACAAGGACCTCATTGGGACCTGGTGTTGGCTTTGGAACTTGCTTTACTTGAAGTCTATATGTCCTATTAGCAATTGGCTTTTGATGTGCAGAGGATGATGTTCTAACGGATAATAGACCTTTCCAGGCTTTGCGCCTTCGATCTGCTGTAGGGTGAGAACTCGAGGCATGGTTGCGGCTGTGATGTCACCAATTGTTATTGGTAGAGTATTTCTGATAGATATATAGTCCCTTCGGTTATAGCGGTTCAAAAAAGGTTCGATCTCGGCTATTGGGCGCAGTCTTGTTGAAGCTTGCAAGTTGGAACAACATAGAGATCTCATGGCGATTGGCCCCGCATCGTAGACCTCGGCATTAAGATGCACCTAAAGTAGCAACTATTTACGGCCGATGTGAATGGTATGTACAAGAGCTTTGACGTCAAAATCGGGGATTTGATTAATAATGTTAAATGCAGCTAGTATTTCTTTCCGGGGGTGCTCAAAATCTACCTTGGTGTCTTCTTATCAAGACTCATGATCCTTGGTGACGTTATGTGATAGACTGAACGTGGGGATACAAATTGGTAGAGAGACAACGCTAGATATATAAGTTTCTTGCTCGCTGAGAATACTATTGAAATAAAACAGCCTACCCCTTTCTCAATGACAGTTGAAAATAATGAAAAGTTACCTATTTTCTACTCACCAGAAAGAGATATAAAGTAATTATTCGCTGGCGAGCATTAATTACCCTATATGTCCATGTATCTGAATTGTATCACGAACTGTATATATTTTGTTCACTTTGCAATCATCATATACATATCCAATAGTTTACAGGTAGGATTATAGTCAACGGCTACACTCATTATGCGAGGAATAATAGTCTCGTCTATGTCATTCACGACTTACCTGATCTCATATAAAATTTTGTATGGATGGCGTCAACCTCACTAATACTGGCGCTAACATCAAAATATTCTTGTCTTAATACAATCCCTCAATTAACATAGCAATGAAAGATTAATAGAATAGCTATACTCATAAGCTCTATAGGGAATTAGAAGATTATTTTTTCCTAAGAATACAAAGCAAAGCTTGTTTACTTGAAGGTTCCATCGCTGCACGCACTACGCAACCTTCTGTAGATGCTTACCAACGCTCCGAAAATCGGCATCATAGTTATATCAAACTAACAAATACCAACACCAACGTTATTTGAACCAGCAGCTAAAAGGCGCTGAAATTTTCAATGGCCGCATTATTCTCGGGCGCCGTCTATGGCGCCTCTACGATAGCCGCTGGCGTCTATTTGCCCTCAACAATCATCAATCAGTTCAAGTTCCAGGATTGGCATATGTTGCAAACCTCTCTTGGTGCAGTTGCAAGCAGCGCGTGAGCAGTCACCCTTCTGCACGAATACAAGAAGAAGCTAATAATTTGAAAGTATCATATACAAAATTGCAGAAAGATACGGCTACGTTAAGCTTAAGCCCAGAAGTTCATCACCGATTGGACTCTTTGGGCAGTATGACGGCAACGTCATAGGCGGATTCCTCCTTGGAGCTGGCATGGCCCTTTCGGGATCCTGTCCGGGTACTTTGTTCGCACAAGTTGGAGCTGGTCTGAGGACTGGCTTTTATACCCTCGGAGGTGCTATTCTTGGAGGTCTCGCCTATACAGGTTATGTCGCGCAAGCAGCCAAAACTCAGAGGGAGAAAGCGGGTGTGCAGCCCGAAACAGTAACTCTCGACGAGAACCTCGGGCTTTCCAACGATACAACTGTTGCTCTCTTCGAATCTGTCTGCCTATCTATCATCGGTGCTTCCATTGCATACACTACTGGCTCCGACTGGTCCCTTTACTCAGCTGGCGGTGGTCTCTTCATCGGCTTATCACAACTCTTCTCAATTATTGTCCGTCGCTCTATGATTGGCATATCAGGCTCATATGAAGAAGTTGGAAACCATTTCTGGTGGCTCACAAGAGATGCCCCCTGGCCAACAAGTCGACAAAACACCTTATTTGCTGTGGGCATGACAAGTGGTGCTTGGGTTCTTGCAAAGGTACTCCCCTCATTTGTCAAGGGCCATGTCGTTGAGACAGAGCCGTTACTTGCTGGAGTTGGTGGATTTTTGATGATTGTAGGATCAAGGTTGGCTGGAGGATGTCCCTCTGGACATGGCGTTAGTGGTTTATCGTTGATGTCGACATCAAGTCTTGTCACCATGAGCACTGCCTTTGCTGCCGGTAGCTTGGTTGCTCCATTGTTTCATTAGGCTGGTTTGGATATAAAAGATTTATAGTTACTATGTGAGATATGACCTGGAAATGTCTGTTCGTGACTGTAGAGACTCAGGTATCCAAGTAACGCATCTAATCCTTCTTATCACCACAGCCAATTCTGGCGGTAACTTCAATCTCAATCTTCATCTCTTCCTTCATCAATGAGGACTGGATCATAGTTGCAGCAGGACGAACATCGCCAAACCACTTCTTCAACACTGGCCACGTCTTTGGAAAGTCATCGCGGTCAGGGAGGATATAGTGAACACGAACGACATCCGAGACTGAAGAACCGGCATCTTTCAATGCAGCAGCGATGTTGGTCATAGTCTGGTCGGCCTGTTCGGCAACATCTGACGATATCTCTCCAGTCTTATAGTCATAACTTTAGCAATTAGCTGTTTTAGAATCCCCAGTAAGAGTGGAATTGCCCACCCAGTGGTACCACTGACAAAAACCCAATCGCCAGTCACGACAGCTCGTGAATATCCGATGAGCTCTTCAAAGGCAGAGCCAGAGCTGATGTTTTGACTAGAAGTCATTGCAGTTGGGGTAAATGTTATTGACGAAGAGATAATAATGAAGATACAATGAGAGAAGGTAAAGGTGTAGGTTTGAGGGAAGATATAGTAGGTGTCGTGAGTCACTTACACCAGGCTATTCCTATTGTTTGCCGTAGTGGGGTCGCTTGGCCAATTCGAGGAGGCTGGAGCTCATATATTCGCGCGCATGAGGTAGGTATTTCATTGATTTCATGACAATCGTAATGCCAGTTCATACTGTAGTATACATATTTTACACCATACATTTAGATACCTATGCATCCAGCACTTTAGCCAGTGAGCTCCTTGACCATCTTGGCCAACTCCTTTCTGTCGACATCCTTGCCCTCGAGAGCACCGGACAGCCTCTTCATGACATCGCCCATGATGGACTTGGCTTGGGTGCCAGCAGCCTTTGAAGCCTCAACAGCATCCTGCACCATAGCCTTGAGCTGAGCCTCTGTCAAGCTCTCGACTCCGCTGTTGGCGAGGTACTCATCCATCACCTTGATCTGATCCTCCTCCTTTTGAACAAGATCCTCACGATTGGCAGCCTTGGCCTCAGCGGCAGCATCTTGAGAGCTCTTTTGGATCTTGCGGATCAAAGCAACGAGCTGGACATCTGTCTTGATGGGAGTTGAGGTCTTGGAAGCGTTGAGGTTGGCGGACAAGATAGCTCGGAGAACGGTCAGGCGAGGAGTATCCTTGGCACGCATGGCAGTCTTAAGGTCGGCCTTGAGCTTGGACAGCAGAGGAGGGGGTGCATCTTCGGTAGATGTTGAGTAGAATCGGCAGACAGAGACTCGGCTGATGGGCTGACGAAGCGTAGGTTGCGACATGCGCAGAGCCCGGAATAGTTGCATCGATTGTTTGGCCGACATTGCGAAGAGATAGTAGCGGGATCGGTATTATCGGTGTAGAGACTGTTTTGTGACTCGATATGACGATTGCGGCTCGTGGTTTGGTGTTGCTACCGTAAAGCTTAAGCGGATGTCGAACGACAGGTCAAAATTTCGCAAGCATGCAATTGGCAACTTTGATTGGCGGTGTGACGAGCTCCAGCGATTCTTAGTGGAGGCCCAGTGAAGGAACAGCAGCCCAAGCTACCAGGGTCCCCAGACTGCCAACCTTCGCGTACGAATCTGGGGCTGCACGACCAGGCTGTCGGAGATGTTCTGAGGGGATGACAGTTGAGAGCCATCTCGACAAGCTTCGTAGAATGGTTGCTTCTGGCGAAGCTTGTTGATTTCACAAAGTGATCGGCAGTAGAGCTGCTAGCTGGCCAGTCATCATAGACCTCCACTTTGAGATTGAGGTGCATTATCTCAGACACAGAGGACCAGGTATGATATCATTGGAGTGACGAATAATTACCTTCAATATCAACACCATGATATTGTTCTCTCTCTTCTCAATCGACATCGCCCAACATGATCTCGGCAACGCTAAATCACCTGATCATTGGTGCACCCGCTCGCCTACTGCCTTAGCAAGGATCGGGGATGATCCCGTTGATATTGCATTCCGCTAGGTGCTGTAGGAGCGCACTAGCTTCACCGGCCAAGGAACAGACCAGGAGGCGGCTCGAACGTTGTGTGTCGTAGATGCAGATCGACTATTCTGTTTCGAAACATTTCAGCTGTCTTTGGGTTCGAGAGGCGGTCGAAACTCAGGTGACGGACGGTAAAGGTCAGGGTTATGGATCCATTGCTAACCCTTCGCTTCCCTGAAACTGGAACGAGATCTCATTCTCGGGTCGCGTCGTTGGTGGAGATGAGGAGATGAACTCATGGGTAGTTGGGCCCGAGACAATGAACCAGGGTTGTCTGTATGGAAGGGAAATGGTGATTTTATAGACGCTGGACTAGGTAGATTATCGTATCAATCTTGTCATTGAGTAGGTAGTATGACTTCTGAGATGTCACCAACATGTCTCTTCCACACACCGTCTCCCCTTAGCCGTCCCCCTATGTCATGCCCATCTTGATATTGTGAGGTCTCGGACCTGTTGCGGCCGCTGGTAATAACTCTCTTACACATCGGGCCCAAACTGTCGGTACCGAGTGTCCATCCACCAGTCATTACGAATCATTCCCTGGAACTCATAACAAGGGACGAGCAGCCACTTCATGGGTAGGTATTGGTAGCGGTTCTCTTTCTCTCTCTCTCTCTCGTTCTTTCCTTTCTTGCCTTATGTCCGAGCACCTGCACGTCACTTCTCTTTCCATCCGTTGCTACTTCCTTCATGCCCAGTCAAAGCTAGACCATGCTTGCCATGTTCGGCAACGAATCTCAAGATTTTCCTCTAACCTTCCTCTATTATCCACTTGATGGCGCGCCACTGCCGCTTCCCTGTCCAGCCAACAAAACCTTGTTTCAACTACAAGGTCGAGTAATGGCATCTTGTTCCATCTCCCCTTTACACACACCATTTACTATCCTTGCATCCCATCGTGGGCGCTCAAACGCAGCACAAATGCCTTTGGGATGCCGTGAAAACTTGACTATCATAACCCACCGCCGCACAATATCTCGCGATTGACCAAGGAATGCCTCAATGGCTCAAATTGAGATTTTATGGCTGTTACCGTCGTGGCTTTCTACCAATGCAAACATAACTGCGATAGCCATCTGTCAGAATAACACAGACCATGGAATGACCTAGAGAAACTTACACGGGAAAGTAGGCCTACAAACCGTTAAAAAATCAAATCACATCAGGATTCGCCCCTTTTTGAGTCGAGAACCGAGAAAACGTACCTTGAATGCTGGGTTGCTGGCTTCGCTCCTCGCTTGAGCTATCAAGAGTTGGAAATCACTGAAAGACATCCTGTACAAGGCTCAGCCATATGTTACTCGAACAGACCACAAGCGACGTACCCAAGAAACTGCGTGAACGGGTATAATGCTAGCGAATACAATAACTGGTTCACGTTATCGGTATTGGATCGACCTATGTCATAATCCCGAGGGACTACACTATCATCAGCCTCAACGCATACGATCTGGCATCAAAGCAACCTACCACTCGACCAGCCGCACATTGGCAACGTCAAGAGTCTCGACTCGACTTCCGTGAACCCTGCACTTCTCATCCAGCTGGCCAATTGAAGTGGTGCCCGCGGATCTTTGTATGGCTGCTGACTTTCCAAGTATTGTCTGGACCATTGCGACAGGGCGTGATCTACTCGGTATAATTGTCAGGATGCAGAAGCTCTCATGTTCAGGAGACTGGAGAAATCACCTCTGCTTAGCGTACCATTGTCAGATTGGGCGTTGAAGTATATCTCGACCATCTGACACCAGCCACCCGGCTTCAATACACGGAAAATGTCTCGAATATAGCTTCGCCAGCGATTCGCATGGATGCCCCCGGCGACCATTTGACTATGGACAACGTCAAAGTGGTTGGATCGAAATGTAAACCTATCCGGGACCTAGGTTAGCATCGGTCACAAGACTCTCTTGCAGCTACTTACCTCCCGTTAAGGTCGTCAACTTGGAGCTCCATATTGTCGGGAGGGTTTTCTGGTATCATGTGCGGGCTGACATCGATGGCAAGGACCTGTGCAAAAGACTTAGCCACAAAATATCTCATCCCAGAATCTTATCTTGAGGGTTTGGGAATCGAGTCAGGCTGGCACCGTTGATCATGGTTGTATCCAGTAACACGTCCTCAAAACTCGAGGATGGGGCCACAAGAGCATACAAAATCAAGACGCCTCAAGCTTCATGATGGGACACGGTGTATCGAATTTCGCCCGACTCGGATGGCCTACAAACATTGCCCCTTGAAGGGAAGACTTGCCAATGGTGTAGGGTGAACTCACTTCGGCGTCAGGATATTGTGTGGCAACTTCGATGGCCCAGTCTCCTGGACCACAACCGCAATCGAGTATTCGTCGTGGCGACCTGATAGGGGGGAATATGAGCCTGCCATCAAAGAGCCTGCTGAGAACTCCGTGCATCACCTCGAGGCGCGAGATTTCGTCCTAGTTCAGTGACTTTTGTTACCTTCTTTCAACCACTTCGATACTGGATAGAGATCATCAACGTACCTCATCAATGGGTGCAAAATATGTCCCATTCGTGAGGGAGTAATGTTGATAAGAGCGCCCATAGTGTTCGATTGTCTCGGTGAACGTCTCGTCCAAGGGCACGGTTCCATCCCTTTGCATGGGGGCTTAGCGAAACTTCCATATCGAGAAACTTTGGTATTCTTACTCTGCATCCATTTTCTTTATGGTCGAATTTTCGGACACGAAATGCCTCTCAATACTCCAAGTATGATACAAGCTTGCTTGGACGACAATAGCCAGGACAAGCAGAGCTGCCTTTGACAAAAAGGATTTAAACAATTCCTAGGGAAGACATGTGGTACCCAAAGCGCGACCCTAGCCTAACGTATAAGAGCCACCCTGGTGCTAGGATGCAGAGTGCAAAGACGTAACATGACTATGGTGGCTTTTGCATCTAGCGGCCTTGCGTACCATTCAAACGCGCAACAGGGCTTCTCGAAGAATGCGGAGATGATCTAGCAGAGAGCCGAGACACGGGCCGGCAAAGGACTGCTTCCTAAAGGTCCAATGCCGATCTTGACACCCCGGAGCTCTGTCGTTCAACTCATATTGGCCCTAGTACGGAAGAATAACAGCAAACATATCACCAGGGGCTATTTCACAACCGCAGTATCCTATGGAATATGGCGAGACGACGCTGAGATTCAGCCAAGGCATCAACACCTTGGTATAGGTTATGGGCTGGCTCTTTTGGCTATTGATGAATGCTAAACAGGGAGCTCGAAAGATTCTGAACTTGAGATTCACAAATCCTTGGCTCTCACTAAGACATTGGACACCAAAGTAGCCATCGACGGGCAGAATAGAAATCACTAGTTTGGATGCCCTTGATTGCCTCATTGGCAACCTTTTCCCATCCATGGCCCCATGCTTCGGTCGACGAGACAGGTTCCACTCGAAGTGGAGAGAATGGTTTGCGGCATGTTATTAGACATGATTGCAGTCAACTGTGTGCTCCGTACAGGTGCAGCGTCTGGTGGAGGGTCTCATTCTCGCCTTACGCCGTCTGAACCAACCAATGCACCCATTATGTGTTGGATGGAATCCTTCCCACCATCACGCTCAGGCACCCGGTTGTCGGGACTTGTGCAGACTCCGTGGATGGCTTGAGACTATATGCCTGCCACGGAAGGTGGCGCCCAATGACTACGGGCCGTTTGACGTCGATAGTGAGGCTGTCCTACCCCAACGTCGGTAGTGATCATCAGCTAGACAAAGAGGATACACAGTTTGTCACATGTGTAACAACGTTTTTGGCGAACAAAGTAAGATCATGGTTTCACAATGAAAGCTCCCCGGGGCAAGTCCAATAACAATCCATGTCAGTACCGATGGCATGGACCTGGGACAGCCTTCGGGATACGGGTCACCAAAATTGCTGTCCTCTTGTACAGCTTGGTATCATCGGAGCTCGCATACGGCCATGGTGGCTGATAATACTTGCTTGACTGAGGGATTCGTTGATTATATGTATTAGCGAGTCAGGCGAATCGCCCTTAATATCTGGCCCTGGCACCTTCTTGCCAGCGAGAATATGGTTGCGCCAGGATTGCGACGCAGGCGACTAAGGAGCCCAGTCAGAGCACTTCCCTATCACCAAAAGGCACCCTTCGATGGGTCTCAACGATACTGGCTATGATCCACCTCAACGGCACCAGGATCCTTTAAAGCCAAACAGCGATAGTTCTCAGACCGATTCATCTCTTCACCGCCTCATGTACTCAGCAGTGTTTTATGCAAAGCTTGTGTTCAGAAGATTTCTAGTGGCAGAGGCGTGTAAAAGGGAGGTCTCATGGCCGCATATATGCTGGTGATGGGACGCTAAGTTGCATTGGATGGGTTCTCGCGGCTGGCGTGCATTTGCTACCCCCCCTTCGGCTAATTCAGTCTCTGAGCTTCACGATTAACATCATACGACCATCGAATTCTGAAAGGCCTCTTAACGAAAACTGGGACGAAAGAATGCTACTCGCCCAACGTCGTACCTCTACTAGTGTCGATGTACACATTGACGGGCCGTGGCAGGCTGTAACGCTGCAGGTGGTGACGAGCCAAAGCTCTCTGTCAGCTCATGACACGCAGAGAAAGGAGCTCGATGGTGACAATCAATGGTCCCTATTGCCGCATCCTTATATTAACAGGGGTAACCTGGGAGAACTTACTTGATCCGGTCATAGGCTCACAATGATCAAGTCTCATAAAGGGACTTGTGGATACGGAGACGACGAGAAACCCTACTAACGAATGGGAAGTGTCCACGGTTTGCGAGGTTGCGATAACTTGCAAGTAACGATCCGCCTGTCCCATGACCGCACCAGAGATCACGTTGGGTGCTTCGGAAAGGAAGGCGACAGCAAATTGAAAATCTTGCCAAATGGCGTCCTTGGCTCCGACCAAGACCCTCAAAATTGTGTGGCATCAATAGCATGTTCTGAGCATGTCGCAAGTGACACCTCGCAAGTTGGAACGTTCTAACTGTCACACACAGCTTTGGAGGGTCCAGTGGCTCCCTTACCCACACGCAGCCTTTCAACAGCCGCTACGGGCCGCCATCATGGAGTCTGTGGGGGGATAAACATAACAAAACGCCGAGTCCAAAAGGCTGCCAGGCTGCAAGCCAAAGGAGGATCGCCAACTGACTGTTACCTTTCTGACTACGTGGTGCGGCCTCATATGATAGCTCCATCACTCGGATAAACTTAGCCGCGGCCTGTTCCAATACAGGACACGGTGGATTGGGCAGGACACCGATATGCAAGATTGCAGAGCAAACAGAACTCAGCTCTGGTAGCACTTTTTTGTTTGAATCACTATTGCCAACTAACCGATAGTAGAACGCTTATGCGCTACGGCTGATACTACAAAGACAGGGGAACCATGCTCAAGCCATGGTTTACCGACCCAGACTCTCGGGTTCTGACCAGAAACCCGGGAAATTGGTGGGCGTGGTTATACGGGCACTGTTCCGCTAATCCGTGGGATTTACCACACCGTTCGGTTTTTATTCCTCAGCACAGATAACACAGTATTGTGTACGGTATTCAGGAAGGCCCAAGATCTCAACAGTATCTATGACCTAAGTCATGGATGCTGCAGCATGATGTCCAAAAAATGACTGGGCTATAGCCTATATCCATATTCTTCTATTTTGCGGTGGGCTATCATAACGACATCTAAATTTTATCATCATAACCCGTGCGGCTTCTGTAGCCCAAAACTCCAAGACACTCCCGAGTACTGCACCACGGTAAGCACAGCAAATTCCGAACCGCAGCCTTTGAACTATACTGTACAGCAATGACATGTCAGCTCTTGACCCCGCTCTGCTCGCACACATCCTCGCTGGTTTTCGAGTTCTCCTCATGCAAGTCAGATTGGATTCTGTGGCTTGCTTGCCAACCTGGGCGGCCTGTTTTCTCTTTTCGTAGCGTTGGTACATTGGCATGCAGTGAGACAAGTGTTCCAAAAGGACCATTGTGTCTCTGGAAGAAACCTCCCGGTGACCAGTATTATGCACATAAACCCCAGACCAGTAAAGCTCAACCAAATATTCGAACAAGCTGCATATTGGCCAAGAGAGGAACCGCACGGATGCAACAGGTTACCCCTGGATTTATAAGATTAAGGTGGCCTTAATAAGGGATGCAACCTCACGGAACGACATATTGGGAAGGCCACACTGCGAGGTGACGTGACTGCTGAGACCTTGGCAGAGTAGTATATCCAATGCCTGCAGTCTTTGAGGACAGATAGCCGTTCAAATCAAAAGCAAACAAAATGGTGCGGCCAAGGTTGAGGCCCCTACCAGCAGGTAAAGACGGGATTCCTACTCTTGACGGCCTCGAGCCGCTCAACAATGACCTTGCGTTGGTTGCCCATCTGCCCCTCAGCTGCAGCATATCCTAGGTCACCTTCTAGGTCGTCGGTGTAGTTCTCATTGTCGCCGTAATACTGCTGTGCGATGGTGTTGCTACTACGACGGGCAGCAGCGTTGGCAAATGAATATCTTCGTTGCTGTCGCGGTGCCTGCTGGCGTGCTGGTTCATACATGTTGAGTGCACGAACGGGACCCTGGTAGCTGTTCCTAAACCCAGCTGCCTGGACCGTGGGACGCTTGGCTATGTCCCCACCGTTTTGTTGCTGCCCCGCTGGTGCCAGGAGGTTGGGTTCGCCTGGGGCGATCTCATCTGGTGACTGAGCAGTCTCGCCTGTCGGAGATGAGAGCTCGAATCTACCTGGATGAGGCATGTCGGCGGGTGCACTGGCCAGACCGAGAAGGTCCTCGATTGGAGGATTACTGGTCGGAGCCGAGCTAGCAATGTCGGCCTCATCCATGGATTGACGGACGTGGGGGTTGCGGCGGACTTCCGAGGACGTATTACGCATAGGAACAGCAACAGGCACGTCAACTAGATCATCCCAGACGCAGACTCTGGCTCGGCGGGTCAGTTCAAGAGGCCCATGGTCAGGAGTCTTGAGTGTCTCCACGACGTTCCAGGCCTGACCCTTCATTACGGCGACTTGCTTAGCAAACATGCGTTCCTGGAAATCAACATCCATCTGGAACACCCTCTTGAGAGCGAGAATCGTCTGAGTCCACCATGATGTGGAAGTTAGCAATGGTAAAAAGTGATCCCGTGTCTTTTGAGAAAATGGCCTTCCGATGAGGTCGACAGGGAGGAAAAGCCAGCCAAAGGGGAAACTGAAAACACAAATTAGCAAACCTCTCGCAGCGTTGATATATGTACTTACCTTCTCCAAGCATCCGGGTGTTTCCAGGGCCATGACAGTGAGTTGTCGATAGCTCCAACGGTAATTGCTGGTTCATTTCCTGCTGGTTGTCGGCTTGAGGCGCTCATAGGCCTCTGGGTCTTATAAGGATATGACGCCCTCGTAGCACGAGGCCCTTGTTGTGACAGATCAACAGGTCGAGGGCCCTCTTCCTCAGCGACTGGTTCCATGTTCATTTGGATGGGGTCTGATGCTATCGAGGCCTTGCCTGTCTCCCAATCAACCTTGATCATCCAATTGTCCAGACCAC